CACAAGGGTCACACAGCCACCCATTTGGCTTGCAATGATACATGACACTGAACGCACAACTCCGAGATGGGTGTGGCAAATTGTTGGACGGCTACATTCTTGGTTGTTCGGCCAGAGACAAGCGATCTACCACAGATACAACCCACTTGCAACAGGCCTAGGGCCCTGGACTTGCATGACCCTGGGTATGGGTCAAAATTACACCACCAGGGGATGGAGGTTTTAGTCCTTGCTTCCATTTACGAGGGCAAGCCATTTTGGGGCCGCGCAACTTATCTTTTTGACCCATCCCCGCCTCAGGAAATTTTCTCTCGCATTTCCGGGGCCCCGGGGCCCGGCCAGGCGCAGAAGAAGAAGCCCACCCTGGACTGGGCCAAGCTGCCGCCCGCGCCGTGGCGCTGGCATGACTCGTGCAGCTTGAGATGTTGGGATTGGCCAGGGGAATTCTGCCGGGAGTTAATTATAGACCCCACTTGACGGTCAAGACTGGGGTAAATGAAGGTTGGTCAGTGCGAACCAGAGATAGGTTTGGATATCCCTTCTGATTCTTTGCATGATCTTGTGTACAGCGTTCGTACCAGGTGTTCACGGCCGACAGACAAGGCACCCCTTTCAGCTCGTCATTTGACTCAAAGAGAAGCCGGAAGGAAACCGCTGAAATGAGGGTTCCGCATGTGGAGACACATTTCGACATTTCGAGGGTGACGCATTTGTTTAATTGTCCTTTCAACATGTCCCAACACCCTTCCAGCGGTTGGGGCCGTCACAAGCTGGTGATCTGAAGCTCCCGAACGTGGCTCTCATGTCAAAGCAAGTGGACATACAAAATCGGTGGTTTCCCTTTGGGGTTTCCCTTTGGTTTGTGCTGTAAACCAGCCCCACAAAGGATACCCTCAAAACACATGATTTGTGTCCACCAACCATTTTACCATGAAACACTCACTTTGGCGGCTGTGTTCGAAAATGAGGGCCCCCTCTTTTTCGGATGGTACTAGACCGCACACATTGGCGTCAACAAAGTGACCAAAACGGGTAGAGAACCCACTTATGAAGCGTGTCTCTTTATGGCTGGCCAAACGGTAAACCCTCCGCGCTCTTCGCCAGGAAGTTTGTCGGCAACATGTGCCTCAAGGACGGCAAATGACTCGATCGATTCGGATGGCGCAAATCGAGCTTCGCGAAGAGTGCCGCAGCTAAAACAGGGGCCCAAGATGGTGGTTTTCCTTTTGCTTTCCGTTTAGGCCAAGTCTATCCTCAGGCGCAAACCTATGAAGGTCCTGATTCGGGCGGAACCCTACTATTTGGGCCTTGGACCTTTTGGACCTTCAGGTCCGGTGCCCTCTTGTCGCCTTGTTCTGCATGTCCTGAACCGCCTCAAACTGAAGGGGTGTTGAGCACTGCTTATTCGAGTCATGTATCTGTTCAGAACGCCAGGTCATGGCTGACAAGTGTTTCTTGGTATTTGCTGCTTTGGATGTTGTTTGCCCAAATGGGTTTCCGGACTGAATCTCCTGCACCGTTCTTCAAAGGAGATTCCTCTCCTCGTGGCTGTTGCATCTGTTCCGCAGAAAGGCCTTGAGAGGGCAAGGATGCTGGAATGTTGAACATGGCATCTGGCTTGCTCGTGGTGCAGTAGTGCAGAGAATCTCACTCTACATCGATGCAATCACGCGAATGACATCCTGTAAAAGCGCGCTTCGCGAAACTTGTGACCTGCGGACCTGTGCAGAGGCAGCTGAAGTGTGGACCTTCAACCTTCGCAAATGTCCGGCACGGTCAACGGGGGCGTGGAGAACTGGGTTTGGGTTTGGCGCCACTTTCTGCGATACCCAGGGAATCCCCTTGAAGATGATCAAGTAATTGGTCATGAGAAGCAAACCACTTTGTCACAGAGACAGTTATTCGCCAGAACCATGGCGAGAAAGAGTACACTCCCTCGGACTCAATAGAAGCTCCCCCAATGGGCCTCTGTAAATGGGTAACCAAGTCTTCGAAAAGGGTCCGTGCGGGAGCTTCCATGGAATCGCCGGGAGGGTGCCTTAAAATTGCTTGGATCGTGGTTAACTCCAGGATCACCCCATCGATGAGATCATGGAGTACATCGACTGGACCCCTTTCTTCCAGGCCGGCGTCTCGTTTCGGTGAAGCTCTCCTTTGGAGCCTTTCTTTGACTTCTGGAGCAAAGGGGACTGGCTGCCGTAAGGGGAAGGGAAACACAGGGGTTGGTAAATTGTGTATATGTGTTCTGCCCAGATGAGTCAACCAGGGAGTCATGAATCATAGGTTCTCATTACTCGCTCTCCAATGGACATCGAAGTTGATAGTCGTTGCTTTTCCCTTGCCCGAACCTTGCGGATTCAATTTATGTTTGCCCGCAGCCGCAAGGGGCTCATGTGTTGAACGCCTTTTCTTTCATGGGTTCTGAAATTTTGGAGACTGTTTCTCTTATGCCCATTGCCAATTGCTTTCGACAAATCTCACTGGAAGGGCAATCAAAGGG